TAAAAATAGATTTCTCTCTTCAACAGATCAGCTTCAATTTTTAAAACAGTTTTCTAATATGTAATTATCATCTTCCAAAGATCCTAACGTACCATCAGTGTGATGAAAATCAGAATGTAAATATTTTATAAACAGCTGTCAAATCTCAATTGGCAGAAAACAAAAAGCTCCTGAATTGCTATAATCCAACTGCAAGGCTATATCACTTAATTGACACAATACATTTTTAACTTTCCATTATTTCAGTAGCATTCTTAGCGCATTAGCATGATGTGCCACTCTAGATAGTCACTGTGACAATTAGAGAATTAACCCTGCCATGCTCTGAGGGAGATGTCCAGCACAGGAATAGTTTTGATATTCTTTGTATCTGGAATACCTGGCACAACATGGCCAGAATATTTGCATCAAGAGAATATTATTATGTCCATTAAAAAAAGGAGAAAATTTTTGCTCTTAGCAGTTCAATAATTCATTATTTCACTTTTTGAAGCACTTTAATTCAACAGAATATCTGACTGTGAATGTCTCATGCTTGACCAATAAACCTCTATGCCATACACAGAAATGAACCTCGTCACCCACTGTCAAAGATCAGAAATGCCACTGGATAGAGATCTCAAAGTGATCCTTCCCAAGAGCATTATTCTGATTTCTTTCTGTACCACTGTCTACCCTTATGTCTTTTTATTCCTTTCATATTTTAATTTTTAACTTCTCCATTTAAGCACTAGATATATCAGGAACATCTATAAGCATTGCTTAATTTCTTTTGGAATATTTAATTGATGTCATCTTCTGGCTCTACATTCATTTTCATTAAATAAATATTTAGTAAGTCTTTTGCATGGAACAGATGTGGTTTTTGACACTGTTAAAAGAAGAAGGAAAAGAAAAAGGTCTTATCCTCCTGAGGCTCAGATCATGTCATGGTAAGAGAAACAACAAATTGTAAACAAATATGACAGGGTTCCTTGAGTCTTAACTAAATCCCTTACAATATATATACTCCATATATATGATTTAAATTGGAATTAAGCATGAGTACTCACACAGAGCTCATTCATAGAGGGTAGTTAGGGAAGGTCTACTGAAAACTGAATGCAAGGGCTGAGTGGTGGTAAAAGCCAGAAACAGTGCAGCAATCCAGGTGACTCAGTGGCAAGGTTCCAAGCAGGAAGAACAAAGAGAAATATTCAACAAAGGGCAAAGCAAAAGCAAAAGTAGGCTTGAGTTTAGGATAATGAGTTTAGGACAAATCTTCATCAGATTTGTTAAGTCCTGTAATACATGTAAGTTACTTTAAGTGTAGGGAAATGAACTGAAATTTTGAGCAAGTTTCAAATGGGAAATTGACAAGATATGTATATTAATATGGTCAGAATGGATCTCAGATAACCCCTGGGTACTTAATGTGAGTCTCTAAGTGAGGCAGGAGGATAACTAGGAATAACATCATGATGAAAAAGACAAGAGATTCAGGATATTTGAAGGAAAGTGAAGAAAAAGGATGTGATGTTTTCAGTTCTTTTGGGAAAATTCCCAGGAGGGGGATAGCTGGATTGAATGGGATTTCCAGTCCTAGTTTTTGAGGAGTCTCCATATTGATTTCCATAATGGTTGCACCAATCTACATTCCCACCAGCAGTGGAAAAGGGTTCCTTTTCCCCCCACAGCCTCTCCAACATTTGTTGTTGGTTGATTTATTTATGATAGCCAATGTATCATGTATTTGTTTGCCTCTTGTATTTCTTCCTCTGAGAAGTGTGTGTTCATCTCGGATGCCTATTTCTGGATTGGGTCTTTAATTTGGGGCCCTAATGTTTTTTAGTTCTTTATAAATTCTAGATAGAAGACCCTTGTCTGAATGCTTATTAGCTAAGATTTTTTCAAAACTTGTGGGTTGTCTTTTCACTTTGTTGGTAATTTCCTTTGACATGCAGAAACTTCTCAATAAGAAGAGATACCAGTTGTTAATTCAAGTATTCCCCATGCAGTTTGATTTTTGTTCATGAGATATTTGCCTATTTCTATGTCTTCAAGATTTCCACCTATTTTCTTCTAGGAGATTTAGTGTTTCCGTTTTAAGTTTAGATCTTTAATCCATATATTGGGTTGTTTTGCTGAGTTCAAGTACCTACATTCTTTAGACAGCCTTCAAGTATGAAAAGGTCCTTTACAGACTTCTCCAAATACAGCTTCTCTAACTGCAATGGAACACCTATCTCTGACAAAACAAAACAAAAAAAGGAGATATGTTGGGAGCCATGAAGCTAGGAATTCAACCAAATGTGTGTAGGTAGGACTAGGCCTCAGTGTCTAAAGCAAACAAGCTACCTCACTCCTGAGACAAACATCCTGTCTGGTTAAGGTCAACTAGTAGTTGCTAGGCAACCTAGTGCCATGTGTTACTAACTTTATAAATGAAGGACCATTTTGTTGTAAAAAATATATATGTATGTATATGTACATAAGATAGGATATATATCTCCTTTCTCTTAGTTCATTGAGAAGAAAGGTCTGTACTAATATTGTTTAGACAAATATATCAGTCTGCATCTTGTCCTTTGAATACCTACTAGGAAGACAACAACATGCAATGTATTCAATGTATTCATTATTATAACTATCTTACCAACCTATTTTGAAACTATTTCATTGCTATTTTATCTTTTTTTCTCATTAAATTGAATAAAGCATAAAATAAAATGATAAAAAAGACTTCAGATGACAAGAGGGGTAGATTGAAGGGAGAAATCTTATAAGTACTTAGAGAATGTATTTATAGTTTCTGGTAAAGTGCAAAAGGAATAACATCTGTTTTTCAAATAAATACTAATTAAATACTATATAAAAAAGGAAAAAGGAAAGGAACTGGCAACTTTTAGGTTTAAGGAGCAAACAGAGAAATTTTGGCTTTAAGTCTGAGAGCATTTTCCTTGCATTTTCAAAGGAGACCCAAGAAGATAAAGTTTTATTTTGCACTGGAAGCATTTAGAATTTTGTAACCTCTGAATTTACAAATAAAGAGCAAAGGTCTGGAAGGTCGAAATGGTTTTTTCTCCACATCAAAGAGCTGAACTATCGCCTGCATTTTCAGTCTCTTATTTTCCAGCCCGGAGGTTTTCCCATTATCCAGCACCTCCTCCCAGACTCAGCTCAGTGCCTTACTCATTGTCTTGCATGACTTTCTTTGGAAAGAAATTTCATTAAAAGCTCATCTTTTATCCCCAGTGTTTTTTAAGAAACAAATAAGCATGAGTGAGATAACAGAGTTTGTTAGAAGCAAGACAATTGATATTAGGATGGTAGGTTAAAATTTGAGTTTTGATGGCCATACTTAGAGCATCACATACTTCTAAGCTTTTATTTCAAAAGAACAAAATACAAAAGATACTAAGAATTAATTTTTTCTTTCTCTGTATTCATTGATAATTCTGATTTATCTTGAAAACCCAAGCCAGATGCCCCCCCATTCCATACAGGAGCAGCCTTAGTTCACTTAATTTTATAAATGGTTAATCTAATGGATACCTCATGCCATTAAAGTATTCAAAAGGTTACTAAATTGGTGATGCCCACTGACTAGCAAAAATGTAATAAGTAATAGTTCAAGCTTCTATCATTGAGGTAGCAACACAGTGCCTTCCAGGTGTAAGGTTAAACCTCATTGATGTCATCTACTACCACTGGACAAAGTTCTTAACACCTGAAAGGCCTTGTAAAATAAAAGGTAAAAATATAGAATGTGATATTGAAGATTAAGTAGGATATGGAGTCATGTTGAACATCATGCCCACATATGAATGTCATTGATTAAACTCAGTCCCCTCTTGCTTCTGAGTGTCACAAGACCTGGGCAACCTGATTTAGTTGAGGGCATATGGGTCTCATGCAACAAGAAATATAATGGCAGGTTTTCCAGAGCCCAAGATCATTTTATTTTTCCATACCAGTACTCTTAGTTATAGTCTTTGTCCTTGAGATTGCAAGGTGACAGCTGTGCCCTCCAGGTAGGATGATCAGATGGGAACAAAGGAAAATATTCTCCCACAATTGTGCTCTTAATTTTTGTTTAAGAAAACAAACTCAGGAAGGGATCCTGTCACATCACTTAGAGCTTATTTGCTGGAACTGCATCATGTGGCCTCAGGACACATCACTCTGAGCTGGTTGGCAAGAATTGCGTCATGTAGCCAAATGTGCATCACTTAGAGCTCATTGGCTGGAACTGGGTCACATGGGCATGGCAAAGGAGTTTGGGAAGATGAGAACTTTCAAACCGGATATGTTGCAGTCCTTCATAGTATGAAGATTTCATCATAAAGAAAGAAAGTAGAAATTGGATTCTACTTTTTTTAAACGTCTTTTGGGTAAGATGTTAAAAAGCATTTGGTGAATAGAAAACATATTATTGACATTTAAAAAGGATTGGGTTTTCCCAGAATGTCACTGTTTCTTATATTCACACTCAAACAGGGAATAACAAGCTGAATGAAGGCAATACGAATTAAGGATTAATTATGAAGCTAATAGGATTAAGATGTGTTAATATCCATATATATGCTAATCATTCAAACATTTTGCACTTACATTATTTTTAAAAAATCTCACATTGCTAATTAAGATATAAATGCATTTGAAATAAACTTAGCTTATTTTAAATTTTAATAAGAATATTTTCACTATAATTTTGATTTTTTTTTTCAGTACTCAGGCTCAAGCTCAGGACCTTACACTTGCCAAGCAGGAACTTATGCCATCTTATGCCCTGGCCCTATGATTTTGAATTTGATAAACAAACTAACATAATTATCTTTATTAAGGTAAATGCATGGCTATACATTTATATAACAGTACCCATAGTCAGAATTATAAATAATGCTTAAAATGCTAATAAAATGCCAATAAGTTTTTATTTCTTAATTTATTCTCTTAGATCAAGCTATACATCTCTTATTTCAAGCAAGGAACTCAGCTAGAAAAAAAAAAAGCCTTACCTTACTGTACCTTAGCTGAAGTTCTGAATGTCATTTATTTGGCCACTAAGCAAACACAGACACTAGAAGAGAAAAAGAAAGTGGGGTTAACAGACAACCAGAAACCTGGGACAGGATGGTGAACAGGTTACACGTCATAATTTGGGGAAAAGTAAGAAAATTTTATAATTTTTAAGTTGGGAGTAACTTCATAGATTATGGTTCTTAACCTTCACATGTAACCAACAAGAGTATGGAGGTTCAGAGAGGTTAAAGTGTCATAAAATAAACATCTCTGTTTAATTCTCATTCCATAGCTTCATACCTCATACCTGCCTAAGCTCAATTCTCAAGAAAGGGACACAGAATGAGAAGAGGAGGAGAATACAAAGAATTTGCTCATTGCTCTTAATTTTACATAAGTGATGAGTGCTTTCCTTTTGTTAGTAGTATTATTTACTTGTCTCCTTTCAAAGGAGAGTTATATGCACAATACTTTAGAAATCCCACTATATTATCTTCTTTCAGAAACTACTAAAATATGTATGTACACGGACTAATTTTATAATCATTCCGCTCTCATAAATGGCTCCAGAAACTTTTAGGAAAGCCTCCCATCTCCATTTCAGATGTGGCATTAATCTTTCTGAGTGTACAAAGCCTGACCTCTAGGCAAGAAACTTAGGAAAGCATCTCTTTAGAAAGTGGACCAAGAGAGAGGAAGGAAGCACTAAACTCCACGGGAAGAGAACAAGGACCACCCATAGTGGCCAACATAGTGCTGCTACCAAGAGAGGACTGTAACAAGGAGTGAGTGCCATGCGACAGCTGGAGTACAAGGCCTCCTGATAAGCTGTTAATGTTTTGGTTTCTAAAGAGGACCTTGAGGTTTCCAAATCAAGGGAGCTTCCACAAGTGTATCCTGTAACAATATAAGTTCAAAGATGGACAGCAAAGGTTAAGAGGGATTTATTTTAGATAGTACAATTAACAACTAGAAATGGATTTGTATTTTTCACATCTTTTTCTTGAAGTCTAAATCTGCACAGAATGGGTGGGGAGGAAAGAGAAGAAAAATCATAGGTTCTGCATCATTTTGACAAGCACAATCTTGGAGACTGTCAGTGATTTGTTGTCCAGACATGCTCTCTTCCTTTCCTTTGTTTGTCTCCCTCCACTGGTGTTCACAATGTGGGAACTATCAAGGGACATCTCCCAATTTTAGCAAAGAAAGACATCTAGCTCTAGCAAGACCTCTCGGACCCTTTCTCTCCCAGTCTAAGTAAGGAGTCTTACACAGGGCCAGGCTGGACCTGACCATTCCTTGAGATTTTTACTTTCAAGAAGATCGAGGCTGAAGGGCTAAGTTTTCACAGCTGAGAACTTTAATCTAGTAGCAGCTGACTCTTTCCACCAACTACTTTGCCTTCTGTATGTACTACCATATCCTCAGGAAATAAGGGTGACATTCCAGGTACTTCCTGAACAAATGGGATCTCACACATTGACACTTGCATTCCCACCACGGAAGTAATTCAAAACCTTTCAGTGGGAGGAGGGAATCACTTATTCCCCTCATTGCTATCTAACAAACAGGACTTTCTTGTCATTTAGGGCATGTGGATGAGTGTAGAGTTAGTTTTTATCTGCTAATATCCTTATAGAATTTAATGAATCAAAAGGCGGGTACTCAAGCAATTCCAAGTAAATGCATCAGTCCTCCCACAGCACCATCACTATCTCATACACCGTGGGTACTCAGTTGGTGCTGCTGACCTGAATTTTACTGTTAAATTTATAAACATCCAAGTTATAGTTACTAATTTATAATAACAATCCCAACATGTTTATATATTAAATTTAGATGACTTTAGATAAATAAATACATATTTCTCAATATTGAAAAATTAAACAGCATTATTAATGATAAAATAGAATTAAATATGACAGTAATCAATCAAGTGTCTTCCAAAACAAGACAACAAGAATTGATTTTGACAACCAGGGAAGGAAATGGCTTTTATTCTAGCTTCAAATTCATTTTGTTGCAAATTAATTGCACATGATATTCATGTAAGAGTAAGCTTCAAATCTCTATGTACAGATGACAGGTTCCTCTACATCTCAGTAAACAAGGTTCAAAAGGTTCCATATTCAGAATGTGATTGGTGACCCCAGTGATGGTTGTCATAATTATGCAGTTAGGCAAATAAAGAAGAAAACAAAGCAAGAGACAGAATAATTATGATGGAAAGCTAGACAAAAGGCTTCTTTCAATAGGCCAACTAAATATTACTTTGATTTAGAATGGTAAGAATTTCAACATTTTGTTAATCTTTAATGTAGTGGCTTCTTTCTGTCAGACAATAAATTTTTTGAGTACTGATTCTAAAGACTCAATGAAATAGCAATTGTGGACTTTTAGGATATTAGTCTGCAAGTTTCCATTTCATTAAAATCTCCTGACAAAAATACCATGTTTGCCTACTTCCTAAATGTTTGAGCATGTATACTCCTCTTATCTCTCAAAAGATGAAAAAACATTTGAGCCATTGTTTTGCAATCTGAGTTGATGATAAACACATCTGTAGTCTTCTGACTTAGATGGCATGAAATCTACCCAGAGTCTCGAAATAACTAAGCTTAATTAACTAATCTTAATTGTTACTTTCAGCCAAATTTAGAACTCAGGCTTTTAGGGATAATATAGGTTATCCCCTTTTTAAATGTCAAAGCATACCTTTAGTTTGTCAACCAATCTTATTTAAAGACAAAAATAACAAGCACTTTTGTAAAATCATTGCTGAAAGCTTGTTTTATAGGACTAGGATAGTTCCAAAAGTGCGTCAGTTGGGCCAAAAATGCTTTGCATTAAGTTCCTATTCCTGGGCGGCACTCGGGTCCATGTCAGTGCTCACACAGATGTCATACTGCACGCTGACTTGTTCCCATGAGAACCTCCCTTCTTGCCTTTTGCTATCCTACCTGTTTGCTACACCAGGAGTGGGGGGAGACAGAGCTAACTAGAACATGTAACGTTCTCTTGAATGAAACCATTCAATCCTCTCTAACTAACTGAAGGGATGTCAAACAGCAGGGAAAGGTGTTGAGGAGGGATAAGTTTTGTTTTCCGTGTGCCAGGATGGTCATTGGTTTCAATCTATATTTGAACTATGAGGTCAAATGACTGTCACAAGTTTGTCCAGTAAGTAGTCAGTACAATTGTTATTCAAGTTGGGGTCCTTTTTATTTAAAAATGCCACCTTATTGTAGTAGTAACAAGAACAACAATAAATATTTACTGAGTGCGTACTGCATTCCAGGCATTATTCCAAGCCCTTTAAACACCCCCAATCGTGTAATCTTCACAACCTGGTGAGGTAAGAACTATTCTTATCTGCATCTTATGAATGAAGAAGCAGATGCCTGACTGCATTTGTGTAGGAAAACAACTCCTCAGAGATCATTAAGATAAAATTTGGTGTTGCTTCCTTCTCCATTTGTCCTATTCCTTCTTATTTCTTGTTATACATCATTCAGACCATAAACTTAACACAACTCCTGGCTTAAATGTGTAGTTGTTCAGTTGGCCCAGCAAACGATGTTGTTTAGAAGCAGTTTCAGCCATTGTGATGGTCACGAGTCTGTGCCAGAGAATCAGAGCAAGTGTTGTTAACAGAAACTGACAGGTCTATGGTAGACAGCTCTGCCTGGGCATTCCTGAGTGTCCATCACAGAACTGGCGAGGAAGAGGAAGGAAATGAGAGGCACTCTTGAGTTGAAAGTCACTTAGTCTAAGGTTTTGTTGTTAAGGACTGGCCTGATGACTGCATCTAAGAAGACTCCAGTAACCCAGGATTTCGCCCTGTGGTCCAGTCTGGGTATGGGGGGCACAGGGTGAGAAGCCTTCGAGGCAAGTGTACTAACTGTCAGCATAGCATCAGGCTCAGTGGTGTCTACTAAATGAAGATTCAGCCAATGGTTGGGAACATGGACAGGTTTGCTACATCGGAATGAGTGGCCTGGTAATAGTGAAAAAGATCACTAAGTCCCTTAGTTTCTAATGAGAGGTGTCAGGGTTGGACTGGTTATAGTAAACTAGAATGAGGAGGGCAAGCCAGGATGAAAGAAAGATGGACTACTATAAACTCTATCTCACCAAGATGCATAGGCTGGTCCTTGAAACACATCATTCTCTAAAGTTCTCCCCTGATGAATCTCTTACTGGGCAGGGCTGTGTCTGCAGGCTGCTAGCTCTTAGCTCCTCAGGTCCCTGAGGCTGAGCCTGTAGAGATGGAAACTATGATTCCTGGGCAGTTTGGTTATACTGAGAATTCTAGAAATATAAGTCAGTGTTAATACACAACTAAGTGAAAAGAAAAGTATTACTCTTCCTTCTAATTCTGGCAAAGAGCAGAGAACGGAGAAAGAAATGTTAGCCCTATACATGGAAATAGATGTGTGTCCAGTATCAGGGACCATATCTTGTAATCTGGTAATAAAATTTGGAGGTGACTAAGCCTTTATATCAATTCATCTGAATGTAGAGAATGGTGTGAAGAAGATTAGTCAAACTTTGAATTTTTACATTTCACTCTATGTATATAGAAAAGAGATTAAAGAGAACTTCACCAATAATATTTATGCTAGTTGACTGGCTCCTTTTTGAAGTACATATGGATTTTGTGGATACATTTTTCTAAATCAGGAAAAACTACTATTTCTACTAATGCCAGTTAAATCATAGAACTTTGGTATTTTAAGCATCTGAAATTTAACTAGTTCTTTCAGCACCAAGTTCTTCTAAAAGTAAATGAAATAAAAAACCGTTTTAAATATCACTGTTTGAAAAGATATGCCTAGATCTCATGTATGTTAAATATAAAGACATTTTAATAATTTAATGAGCTAACACATGACCTTATAAAACCAAACTATAGATATGCCTGCTGGTTGGTGAAGGCAATTAAATGTCACTTTAATTTAATTTATTGCTTTTACTAAGAGATGCAATGAAAACTGAGAAAAAGGAAACTTGGCATAAAATAAACATATATAACTTTGAAATCCTATAGTGTTCTAT